TAGTTGATTTTTCCATCTCTGTATCTCTTCTTCAAGTTCTTTTCTGTTTTCTGCCATCAACACCATATCTTCTGCATGAAGGAGAGCCCATGGAGGCTCTCGCTTGAGATCTTCCGTCACTGCGCCCATGACTGTGATGAAGAGTAGAGGGGAGAGCACCGATCACTGATGTAAGCCGGCCTTTATGCGGAATGGTCTTGACTGCCTTGCTGCAGTTTGCACATGGCTCGTGGCTCCGTAATAGATCCATTGGATGTATACTTCTAGGACCATATGCTTTCGCAGCGCCTACTATATGACATTATGTCATCATCTTGTCGAAAGCTTTCTCCATATCCAGCAAAGCCGCATGTAGCTCTCTGCCTTTTTCTCTATAGTTCTTCATCAATATCCGTACAGTATGGATGGCGTCAGCAGTATCGGTACCTTTTGCAAATCCGCACTGATTGGATGGCAACTCTATCGCTCGATCGTGTTTCAGGAACTCTTTCGAAGATCAGAGTGTGGCTCATCAGCCGGATTGGCCGATGTGTTGAACAGTCTACTATATCGCCTCTATTCATCCACATCAGAATTGTTGTTCTTCTCAGCCATGGGGCATGCTCTTGGCTTTGATGATTTAACTGAGGAGGCCTGCAAGCCAAGAGGCACCGAGCCATCCGCATTCTTTTAAGAAGGACCGAAAGCTTTGCATCCTTTTTCTTTGTTGAGCCATACTTCCTCAGCTGCTATGAGCGGCACTTCCATTCACATGGTCAGCTGGTGGGAAAGCTGTCTCAGGGCTGGTAGTGCACGACATTTCTTCGAAGTACGTTCGCCATCTCTGAGTAATGTCCTGTGGTCTTCTTAACGTTTTTTCAAGCTTGTCTTGGACATGGTAGAAGGGTTCCATCTACCATGTCAAAGACCTATCTATCTACCATGTAAAAGTCATCTTTTGCGGACTCTGCTCTCCCTTACGCTATTCGGTATATATCGCGCTCCATCACTAGATTCCAATTCCTTATACAGCTCTTCTACGTATGCTCTCTTCGCTTTCTTGACACACGTTTTTGCAGCGTGTTTCATTTTTAGGTACAACTGTCGATGGCTTTCCGATTTCGACTTATGGCATTGCCTGACTCTTTTCTTTAATCACCGTTTAACCTCATCGTTCTAACACCAAGTTGCTTTATCGATTTTTCTTCTTCCTGGCATCGCATGACCCATTAAATTCCTTGCTACCCAATGTACATTACTCTCCAAGGTTGAACATAACTGTTCTGATTTCTCACGTAAGGCCCATGAAGTCTTTGCCAGAGCTTCTTTGGTTAGAGAGGTCCCCTTCAGTTTCCACCTTTTGATTCGTATTTTGTTGTGGTGTCATTTAAACGGAACGTTTAGATCTAGGTAGTGATTTGTGCTGGGGTATGCAGCTTTCACCTGGATAACCTTGCCATCCTTCATGTTCTTAAGGTTATTGTAATGCACTGTCCAGTAGTCAATTTGTTTGACGGTCTCCAGTTGAACACGTAATCAGGTTTTCATGCTTTTTGATGTATTACGTGTTGACTGCTAATGCTAGGTTGTACGCTGTGGCAAACTCTAGAATGCGTTCGCCTTTTTCATATGGTGCCGTACATCCCGTGACACCACGCACCATTTTTCTTCTCCCCTACATGACCG